TGAAGCTGCGAAGGCCAATCAGGGGACTACGATGGTCCGCAAACAGACAGACAACAATGTGATCGGCGAAATTTGGGCCGCTGTTAGGCTGTTCCACATCTAGAAGACAGTCTTGTAGGGGCTGCTCGGGGCACCAGTGGAACATACCGGTGCAATCAAAACGGCAGGCTTGCTGCTCGTTGAGTGCAACCTTCACTGTGGCCAACATATCTAGCGGAAGGTTCTCCAGGTTGCCTCGCATGATGCCATGATAGGGGTTACTCCCTGGGGGGCGGAAAGCCCAAGTTTTATCCCGCTTGACTTGGCTGTCAGCAGCTCCTCGTCGCGGATTTCTGAAGGAGGTGTGGACAGAGACGGCGTTACCACCGCCAATGGTGGCGTTGACGGAGGAGACAGGACGGCGATTCTTCAATCTGACCTCCACCCCGATAGGGCATAAGAGAGCGTTGTGAAACAGGGGGGCTTCGACAGCAGACGATGAGGTCCGACTCCTCTCGACTGCTCGATGAACCTTGGTGCAGGCACACTGTTTGATTTTTCTCATATCGGAGATGTTACCATGACAACGGGGACAGTAAAAGGACGCACGCTTGGCCTCTTCGGCTGACTGGGCAATGAAGAAACCCTGGGTACTTGCAGTTACTTTGATATTATTCTAAAATATCGAAAAAAAACAAACAAAAAAACTTTAGAATGTTTTCTTTTACGGGACACAGCACAATAAAAGACAACATATGAGAAACAATTAGGGGATTGGAACGTCTGAGAACGTAAAACGCTTTATACCGTGGCTCTTAACTATACCCTAACCAAAGTATTAAATTGAAGTCATGAGAGAATGCATTCATCAATTGAGTTAGTGTGGTTCCATGGCGCTCACTCTTAAGCATAATTCTTTAAAGTCACTGTATACAGAATTTGTGCTTGGGTTCCAGTCTCGTACGTCTTTAGACATCACTACCACGTGTATTATAAGGTCCGGGTGCTCAGTGAGGATAAGAAGAACGGGAATATACACTTAGGTATTCTAAACCACCATATTATCCTACGCAACGAAATTGTCTAGTTAACCAATTAATTCTAAATACATCTGCCCCATACATGATT